TTCCAGGATAAAGGCCTGAATCTGAAGTGTTTTCCAGAACATCGATCAGATCACAGTTGAGGACTCTCTTTTTGGAAAACTTGATCCTCTTGGCTCCCCGGTGACGGTGCTGTCCTGGTTTCCTCCCGCCTCCCTGATGGGCTTCAGTCTCTGTTTGGCAGCTGCGGCTCAGCTTCCTCTCCTGCCAGATCCGAGCCCCAAGACCGTGGCCTGGCGACTCCTCTCTAACGACACTCAGTCTCTGGTGCCCTCGCAAGCAGCTTGGCAGCATCTATACGCAGAAAGCTGCCCCAGCTCCCATCCCGACCTTGCCTTAAACTCCAGATCTGAATAATCTGTCGCTTACTCAGCACGGCCACTTGGAAGACTAGTTGCATCTTAGATTTAACACGAGCAGACCTGAACTCTGGATGCCCCTCCAGACCTGCTGCTTCCCCGGTGTTCCCTTTATCAGTAAATGGCAGCTCTATTCACACAGTTGCTCGGGACAGAAACCTCAGAGTCTCACTTGATTCTTTTCTTTCTCGTCTGAGCCACGTCCAATCCAGCACCAAATTTTTGGCTTTGGCTTCAAAATTGACCTTGGACCCAGTCTCTTCTCTCCCCACCCACGGCTGCCACCCTGGGCCAAGCCACATCTCACCCACCCAGACTATTAAAAGCCTCCGAAGTAGCAGCTAGCTTCCACCCTAGCACTCCTCCCTTTGAAAACAAAAATCAGGTCATGGGCACTGCTCGGTTCAGAACCCTCCAATGACTGTCATCTAATTTAGAAAAAAGCTGTAGGGCTTCCTATACCCAAGAAGGCCCCGCCATCTTCCGTCTCACACCTCACGGGCCTTTGGCCACACTGGCCAGTGGTACAAGCCCACCTCAGAGCTCTTGCCCACCCCGTGCCCTTGGACTGCGTGGCTCTTTCAGACATCAGCAGGGTTTGCTTCCTTGCTTCCGGCAGGCCTCTGACTTTCCCTGTTTTATTGGTCGAATTGCATACCCTGCAAAGATACGTCAAAGTCTTAACCCCTGGCCCCTGGGAATGTGGCTTCATTTGGAAATAGGGCATTTGCTAATGTAATCAGATTAAAATGAGGTCATTAGGGTAGGTTTTCTTCCAATATAACTGATGTCCTTATAAGAAGCCAAGAGAGGGCTGAGCCTGTGGCGCACTCGGGAGAGTGCAGCGCTGGGAGAGCAGCAGTGCTCCCGCCGCGGGTTTGGATCCTATATAGGGATGACCGGTGCACTCATGGCGCTCACTGGCTGAGCACGGTGCGGCCGGTCTCAAAAAGGACAAAAAAAAAAAAAAAGAAGCAAAGAGACACATGCACAGAAGAAAATGCCACGCAAAGACAGAGACACCCAGAGAGAAGACAGCCAAGTGGCAGTAAAGGGAGTGATTGGAGTGGTGTGGCCACAGCCTGAGGCCACCACCAGAAACTGGGAAGCAGCAAGAAAGGGATCTTCCAGAGTCTCAGAAGCAGCAGGCCCTGCTGACATTTTGATTTTGAACTTCTGGCCTCCAGGATTGTGAGAGAATAAACTTCTGTCATCTTAAGACATCCTGTTCAGGGTACTTTGTTATAGCAGCCCTACAAAACGAATACACCCTGATCAGTGATTCTTCATGCCACTTACCATTTCCTGCAATTGTATCTTTAATTGTTTATTTATTATCTGTCTTCTCCATGTGATTATGAGCACCACAGAAAGGGCTGTACAACTTGCCCAGGGAAAATCATCGCTCCTTGGGACTTTTCTCGCTCCTCTGACCGCCCGGTCTCTCTCTTGCCCTCAAACTTTTCTCTTTCTTGGCCCTAAGAATCAAAGATTATTTTTTATATCAAACATATAGGCCAAGATCCTAAATGCTTTGAAATGTTCATTATTTGTAGTCATAAACAATGAGGAATTTTGTAATTCTTTTTTCATCATAAAGATTTACTTTATTGAAACAATTGATTGCACATATCTGTGAGGTACAGAATTGAATATCAGTATCTGTGTGCAATATGTGATGTTCAAATCAGGATAATTAGTATATTTAACATTACACGATGTAATCGTTTTTTGTGGCCCTTTGCCAATTTCTAGCTAACTTCCCTGCCCCTTCCCCTTTCCCACCTCTAGTAACCCCAGTTCTGTTCTCTCCTTCATTATAAAGATTTCTTAACTATTTTTTACTCTCTTTTTCTACAAGACACAAACGTGATACCAGGTCCTGGTTAGAGAATCCCTGTCACTTCGTAGCTCTCCTTACCTTCTTAGAGATCTGGCTGTACCGCCCTCATATTATAATGAATCTTTTTAGTCCTCCCAGAAAGAAAACCCTTTCATAGGATCCAAAGTAAACCCACATTAGACTGAAGATCAAATTAGCACAGAGCAAGGGTCTGGTGTAGTTCAACAAAACAGCAGCGACAAAACTATTTATCTTTCATCATTTGCTCCTGACATTGAATAAAAATATGTAGGTTATCAAAAGTTGTTAAGCGGGGGCCGGCCCGGTGGCGCACTGCTACAGTGTGCCACTTGGGAGCGTTATCTTTCATCATTTGCTCCTGACATTGAATAAAAATATGTAGGTTATCAAAAGTTGTTAAGTGGGGGCCGGCCCGGTGGCGCACTGCTACAGTGTGCCACTTGGGAGCGTGGCGGCGCTCCCGCTGAGGGTTCGGATCCCACATACAGACCGGCCGCTCACTGGCTGAGCGAGGTGCGGGTGCGACACCGAGGGTTGCGATCCGTTGCCGGTCACGACAAAAAAAAAAAAGTTGTTAAGTGCCTGCAATTTTGTACTTTTTAATGTGAAAATAGCAGCACCATATAAATAAGCAAAGCCGCACAGATTCCATACAAATGCTGAAAATCAGGTGCTGTGAGCAACATCTGACTCCAAGTGGGATCCTGGGTTACATATTAACTGTTTTCATGCCTCAATTTCATCCCACAGGAGTGATTAATATGTGCTCTTCCAGGTTTCTCCCCCTCACCCCATTCATAAGGAGAAATAACCTGATTTCTAAAAATTTAAACCATTTTAGAATTTGGCAAAGCAAACTTCGCTGGGTTAGGACACATGTCCGCCCACATGTGCACTTGCAGGGAAGCCTTTTCCTCTTAGAAGTCTCTCTCTCAGATGTGGTCACGAAAACCAAAAGGCGGTGGGACAAGATGCACTGCAGTTCGTGCTTGGGAATGGCCCGGCCGGCAGCAAATCCCAACCTGCCAGTCAGAGGCTGGCACTGGAAGGGCTTCCTGTAAAATCCAGTCTCATTGGTTGTCCCTGGCCACAGCCCGCCACACAACTCAAAACAGAAAAAAAAATTCTTAATACGTGTAAGAAAACCGTTATATAACTTAATGAAGCAGATTTCCTTTTTCATGTATGTGTTCAGTATTTTACCTATTAATAGTCTATACATTATATATGGTATTTTAAAAAACAAAAACCACAGTGCTATTATCACATCTAACATTGATCAATTATTTATTATAAAATATTCATCTGCATTCAACTTTCTCTGTCTTATGAATGTTTATTGTTTGTATGAATTATTTAAACAGATGTTAATTTAATTAGGAAGATATTTGTAATAATCCACATGGTCTGGGTGCACCTTGGCTGGGAGAGATCCAGAAGGTAGAGGCTGAAGCCGCTTCCTGAGCCTCTGAGACTGGCATCTCGAGCATCATCAGCAAGTGAATAGACAATTTGAAATTATTTTGTCTGGCCATCTCCTGCCCTATTCAAAAAATAATACCAAATACTGCATTTTCATCATTTCAGCCCTCACATACAAGACCTGCCAGGATCATTTTAATACTGCATTTTACAAACTAAACTCATGGCAACTTCTCTCCGGGCAAAGAGTGTTACTCTGCCCAGTAGAAGCGTTATCTACACTTTATAAGCAAGGCTCTAAGCTTAAGGATCCTTAAGCTCAACTTCAAGTCCCACAACCATTTTGGACTTTGCAAATTAAATATGGTATTTTTTGGCAAATGCTTGTAGTTTCATAGGAAAGAAAGGAACTGGTCAGGATTGAGGAGTGGATAAAATGGGAGCCAGGTTGAGCTGGCTCCAGCATGAGGTTGCATAACAGCAAAAGCTGCTTTTCAACCAAATCTAAGCAAAACTTGTGGCTGTAGCCGAGGAATTTCAAAGGAGGTTTGAGGATACCAGGACGTAAGCAGATGAAAGATGTGCTGCTGTACAAATAACACCAATTAAATAAACAACGGAGCAAGCAAAGCAATTAAATGCTAATATATATATAATATGTATAAAAGTAATACACACGCGCACACAAATACACCCATAAAAATAAGGCCTGACCCCGTGGCTATGAGTCTACACAATCGGGAGGACCCAGGGCAGGAACAAATTTTAAAAAGTGCAGTGGCACAGGGTTCCGTATGCTGTACAAAAATGCATTTTCTTCACCTTTCCCCATCCAATTAGATAAGAAACGTAACAGCTGTGGAGTTTGGATTTGTTTTGAGGTTTAATACATAGAAATTTTTGGCCGGAGACCTAGACAGACCTTGCAGGATTCGAGCCCACGGTGGTATACGAATCGAATCCAGGACTGCGGAGGGGACGAGGGGGACGCTTGGAGTTTTGCAAGCACCAGCAACTGTCTCGTTAAGGTGGCACCCGCGCTCAGGAGCAGAGGCCGGGGCAGCACGGCGCCGAGGTGGCAGCCACCCACCGCTCCCGAGCCACCTCCCAGGCCGACACGTTGACACTGTGGGCTGGACCAGGCGCCGGCTGGGGATGCTCCTAAGGGTCGCGGTAGCTGTTACTTTCCCAGAGGGCTCCCTGGGGAGGTGAAGAGTGGCTGTGCCTACGAGGAGCGGGCAGGGGCACGAGCAGGGAGTGGCGCGCGGGCAGAGCCACGGAAGGTCGAAAGTCAGGGGAGTCGCCGGCGGGCGGAAGAAGGGGGCTGAGGTCCGGGGCTCAAGTCAGGGCACAGGACGGGCAGCACCGAGTCACTCACCAGCCTCCAGCGCCTCGTGCACCAGCAGGAGACCAAGCAGCAGCCAAACCCTCATCTTCGGGGACGCGGGTGGGGGCAGGTGCCGGGGACCGCGGGTCGCAGGCGCGCGGCGGGCTGCGCAGGGCGGGTCGGGGCGGGCGCCCGGGACGCCACGGCTGGAGTGTTCGGTTTCATGCGGAGGAACACAGTTTGGGGGAAAAAGTTGTTTTTTTTTCTTTTTTTTAATTCCCTGTGTAATGTGACCTCTGCTGCCCCCTGGCGGAAGCGTGGTGAGCAGCGCAGTTTCCAAGCGCGGGGAGGACGGCTCAGGGCGAAATGTCAATGACAGTCAACCCTTGATTGTCCCCAGCGCTCGGCGTGGCGGGATTTTTTGTTTGTTTGTTTTTACCAAGTTTACCAAGTTCAGGAAGCCCCAGCGTAATCCTGCGGGTACTGATGGGGTACACTTCACCGTAATTGTTCAAATGTCACCTGCGTTCGTTCCACCTGCTCAGGCAGGGCCTTAGTGGCCTGTAAAAATGGCCCGGTAAATATTTCTGCTCATTCCCTGTTGTCTCTCACCTGCACTCATTAGCAAGGCCATTGCCCTCAGTTCTTGTCAGGGATGGACGGTGCACTCAGCTCTGCACGTGCGGGCCAGGTGGGGCGGGTGGAGGCATCGTGGGAGTAAAGTGGGAAATCAGACGGGACAGAGAGGCTGGGCCTGCGGGGCGCGAGGCTGTGGTGGGCCGAGGATTTGGACAGTCATGTGCTCCTCTGCGAGGAGCCCCCCCGAGGTTCTGAGCTTCCGACTCACATGGTCAAAGCAGCGTGCAGGGAGGCCGGTGTGTCCCCCCGGCGAGAACCGCGGCCTCGGCTTCCAGCCACGCCGCGCATTGTGACCTTAGCGCCCAGCATTACTATTAAAGAGAACTCAGTTCGAGATCACAGGAAGGGGACTTGCTGCCTCGACACCCAAGCGAACAAGTGCTGCGGTTTGTGATGAGCTAGTGCTTCTCAGCCACCTCGTGCAGGGGGAACCACGAATTCCACACTGTGCTGCCAGCTCTAACCCTGGCTTTGCCTGGGAATAAAGACCAAGGTTCGGGTCTTTACTGCCACGAGCTCTCAGCTCTTTTCACAGCTCTCTTCATCTTCTGGATTTGGAGTCTCTCGTTTATAAAGGGAGGGAACTGGACTTGACTTATTTCAACAGGTGTTTCCTCCGTGCTTGCATGTCCTGGATATGCAGACTGGACACCAGCCAGGAGACGGGCACTTAGAGCACTCGATGCAGCGTGTCACATTCTCGGCAGAGTTCTGCGCAAAGACCTCCAGGAGCGCTCACGGGAGGGGCCACATCTGCCCGGGCTGCCCCGTTCCTGAGACCCTTTTCCAAACTCCTGACGGCATGAGTTGACTGGCCTTTCCCATGCTGTGTTGGAGACGGGGGTTCAGTCCAGACTCCTCCTCTGCCTCACCCCACACAGTCGCTGGGTTCTGCCAGCTCTACCTGCTGGGTGGGCACCGAGTCCACCCTCTTTTGCCATCACATCCAGCTTCTCCGCCCTGGCTCAGGCTGTTGTCCTCTCTCACCGAGTGCTGTCACAGCCTCATTGGTCTCCCTGCCTCTTCCTCTTGCACCTCAATCCATTCTTTCCCTAGAAACTAGATCTATCTTCCAATGAAACTCCAGAAAATCTCGCCCTATTGAATCCCTTTGAAGGCTCTCCCCAGGGCTCATATTCTGGAGTTCTCGGCCCCTGCTTGTTTCTCCAGCTTCCTGCCTGGGTGGTCACTCCTCATCCTGCCCTCCACACCTCACGACAGCACACTCCCAGTGCCCACCCACTCCCACCTTCTGCACCCTGGCCCATCTGCATCCACTGTTCCTGTTGTGCCCTCTGCCCCCAATTGTCCCCTCCCCCATTTCACCACCTGCCCACCCTCTCACCTCATCCCAATCGCTGCTCTCACTCATCCTACAAAATTTAGCTCAGACCTCACCTCCTTCCTCCTGGTTAGGCAAAGCACTACAGTGTGAATACCTCTGTCATAGCATATAAAACAAAATTCAGACTTGACCTGTTTACCTGTTCATGCTTTACTCTTGCACTATCCTATCAGTTCAAGGGAAGGAAATGTGTCTCATTAAAGTTTGCCTTCCGCCACCAGGTCCTGGTGTACTGGTACCTCATTTTAATGTGCCATTTCCTAATGACATGATGGTGAGTATCCTTTCATATGCTTATTTGTCATCCGTATATCTTCTTTGTGAAGTGTCTTCAGATCTTTTGCCCATTTAATTGGGCTGTCTGTTTCCTTACCCTGGGTGAATTTTGCCTCAGTGAAGCTGACATAAAAGCAGGGGGTAGTACAATGTTAAGACCACAGACTGGATTTGAATTTACTAGTTAGTAGTTGTGTGATCTTGGGCAAGTTACTTAATTTCTCTGTGCCTCAGTTTCCCCATCTCTAAAGTGAGGGTAATGCTATCTCATATACTTGTTTTGAGGATTAAACAAATTAATACATTAAATGAATTAACATGTATAAAATACTTAGAACGGTGCCAAAATGCCCAGCGCATAGGAAGCACCATGTGTTAGGTTATGTAAGTGTACAGATGTAGAAAAATATTCACTAGACAATGGTGAAAATGACAATGAACATTTTACAGTGCTTACTATGTGGCATCAGGACTGTGCTAAGCATTTTATATTCCTTGGTGCTGGGAAGGTTATTCCCAGGTCCATTGTCCAATGTCAGGGGGAAAGATGAAACAGTAGTTAGGCCAAATTAGAGCAACATGAAGTGGGTTCAGGAACTTAAAAGAGACATGCAATTTTATAGCCAATGGTTCCAATTGTATCCTCTTTTAAAGAAAGAGCAAATTCTTATTGAACGTATGCAAATACCACATTGTCATAAAAATCAATGTCATAAGGATACTCAGTTTTCAAATTTTGGAGGAATCAAATAGGGGAAAAAAGCAAATGTTTCTGTCTTTGTTCATAAAAGTATGTTTTACCAAATTGCTGTAAGTTATAGATAGCTTAAGAGAAAGTTTCCTTAAATCTGGAAAACAAAACGTTTAAGTAAAGAATCAACAACGAAAGTTACAAAACATTATCTTTATCAGTTACTTAACTTTACATAATTGACGTTTGCTTTGCTTGATCTTAATTAGCAGTTTTATAAACCCATCAGATTTATCAGAGTTCTGAAAAACTTTTATCTTGTCCATTGATCTTAAAGTTATTTGAAACCTGTGTTTAAGAGTACTTGTCATAGTCTTTTCCATGAATCTGATTACAGATGTCTTTAGAGAAAAACCGAAATTGCTTGTAATTTTCCTAAGAGCAGATCTGTACTTCAAGAAAGCACTGTTCTAATTTGGCGGAAATTTAGTTTTGCATCCGTGTCTTTTAAATATCCAAACTCAATCTTTAGAAAGATTTAGAAATAATTTTCTTTTAATTATAATAAACTTAATCACATTTTAAAAATAATTTTACCCTTCATAAACCATTATTACGATTAACTCAGACATTTCACATGTTTTGGACTTTCTGTTTTGTTTCATATTTCTTCTTTACTAAATAACCAGTCATTTTGTTTTAGAACAAAAGTAAAAGGAAAGACTCCTACTTACCTGTCCCTTTTTATCAACAATACTAACAGCCTCATTTATCCAAAAATTGCATAAACACGGATCATGTAATTGCAATATAAAAAAACTATTTTGGAATTCTATTTTCCCAAGCCTCTTCTACATCACATACATTTTAGCTAAATTTGGGTATCTAAACTTATCCTACGTTTGTGTTATGGACTGAATTTTGTCCCCCACAAAATTCATATTTGAAGTACTAAACCTCAATATCCCAGAACATGACTGTATTTGGAGACAGGATCTTTAGAGTAATTAAATTTAAATGAAGTCACGAGAGTGGGTCCTAATCCAATATGTCTGGTGTCCTTTTAAGAAGAGTAAATTTCGACACCAATATAGGCACAGGGAGACCATGTGAAGACACATAAGAAAGACATATAAAAGCCAAGAACAGAGGCCTAAGATGAAACCAGTTCTGCCGACATCTTGATCTCAGACTTCTAGCCTCCAGAACTGGGAGAAAATACATTTCTGTTGTTAAGCCACAAGTCTGTGGCTAGTACAGGGGTCTGAATTAGGACAGGAGTAGGAGTTACAAGAAGTACAGGAGCTTTCCAAGACATGTAGCTGCTTAATCACAAGGCTTATTATTCTTGAATAAGGCAATCTCTGGATAACTTTGAATTTGAAAAATAAAACTGCCAAAACTGTATTTTTAGAGGGTTTTATTTCACTTTAAAAACCCATGTGCTTCATCTCTAGGGTGAGAAAGAATTTTATTATCAGAATCTCCGTTTGTCGATTTTTTCCATTCTTTCTCTCCAACAATTGCTGTAATGTCGGCCAATTAAAATAAGCATTGTCTCACAGATCTAAATCAAATACAACTTGAAGCCTGGTTTCCTAAGGCCTGATGAATTTTTTTATGTTTAGTTTGTATCTGGTCACCCTGATGGACCCTCTTCTAGTTTAAATAGTTTTCCTCTAAATCATTTTCAGTTGATCTCTTGAGTTTTTAGATGAATGATCATATTACCTGCTACACCCACTCTGTTTCTGTATTAGCTGTTGCCTATCTGTTCTCTATCTCACTCTTAGATTAGCCTTTAGTGTTAATAATCCACTGATCCCCGACCCCAAGCAGCAGTGTGGACTGAGGATGAAACAAACAAGGGGGTCTGTGCCCCACTTCAATCAGCTGCTTCTGTATGTGGGAAGAGATGAAGCTGAAAACACAGAAACACCTGGTAAATACAGTACCCAGGAACTGCTATCACACTTGGGGGTATTACCTGAACAGCTCTTCTTTCTCTGAGGGAAGAGGGCAGCAGCTCCTTGCATTGGCCTTACAAACAGAGAGTTGGAGAAGGAAGAGGAGAGTAGCAGAGGGAGAAGTAAAAATCAGGGATGAAAGAGTGAGAGCGCTGAGTGTGATCCAGAGGCCAGAATCTCGAACCACGACAATGCTGTAGTTTTTATGGATCAAGTGACCCAAAGCCCAGAAATTGGCTTGCTTCCTACCATGGAGACTTGGGCCCACCCTGGACTGTGTACTACTCCTGGGTAGTAGTGCAGTCTGTCTTGTGCCCCTCTTCCTGTTGACTGCTCCAATCTTAGTACCTAAAAGTATTTAAGAGGTGGCTACCAATCCGTTACTAAAAAGGTCCACATAAGTAAATCAGTATTGAGCTGTTTCTTTCTAGATAGTGTCACCCACACTTGGACCTACTTTAAAAGACAAGTTGAGATAGTGTGATAATGGGAGTTATTTTTGTATCTCTTTGAGAATATTTTGAGATATTTTATGGGATGAAATGAATCACTCCTTCCACACAGATGGAGACTTCTCAGCACAATCTCTCAGCAGACAATGGACTTTGAGCCCTTAGCCCAAAAGGAAGCCTATTTGCAGCCTTCTGTATCGTGTTCCTATTCCCAGGGGTTCCTGGCTAAACCCACAGCCCAGACACAGCTCCTGGGGAATTACTGCTTCATGTGATCCTATGGTGCCAGAGCAGAGGTGGGGCACCAAAACCTAGCAGCAATCCTCATCAAGCCAACAACCAGATATTTGTTTTAGGCTTCTACTGGGCAATTACTTTGCTATTTAGCTTGGTTTTCAGTGCTGGCTAAATTGATATTAAAGTTTTTTAAATCCAGTGTGTTCCCTCCAATTTACTAGAATCAACAGGAACTACCCATATACAGAGACATTTCAAAATTAACAAGCTAGTTCAAGAGATTTGTAATTTTAAGTAACTTAGAATAATGGTAAAAAGCTCTTTAACTTCTCTCTATCAGAGGGTAAAAAGAATTAAAGTTGGTAAATATTTATGTGCTATACTGAAAAAATCTAAGTTATACATAACTGACCACCAATTACTAAAGGCTATGATTTGGTGGGAAGAACACCGAGGAGCTTCTTGCTGATCAAAGCAATGCCAGTGATGGGTCCATTACATGGCAGTTGAAGTGGTTGGATCTCAGATGTGTGATCCCCATGCCTCAGGAGCAACTGAAAGTTTTTGGAATGTGCCATGAGGACAGAGGATGTGTGAAGATATATTTTATCTCACAGGACGTGGTAGTCATACAGTAGGCCCTCGGCTGCCAAGTGAGGATTCTTAGCAACATAATTGTTTCAACATCAATTGTACTATATTTCTGAGCTTTAAAGGTTCCCAAATAAAAAAGGAGTTTAAATTAGGTAAGTATAAAATGTATGTTTTTGGTATGTGCGGTACATATGCATATTACATTATTATAAGTCATATTAAAATTTATTTTAAAAATACATGGTCACATAAGAAAGCATATTTTACAGTGGTAAAGCAGCAATAGCTTTTATTTATTACAGATTCTAAAAATAATCCAACTTTATAAGTAAAAAGGAATACTGATTATCATAAAAAACATTTAAATATAAAATTACTTACTAAACAAAAAATCCTTACATTCACTCAAGTCCGATGGCTTTGTTGGTTTTTACAGACAAAGTATTTCTGTAGGGTTTTGGGCCCTATCAACAATCTCTATTAAGTACAAAGAGAATAGAATAAAGCAATCAAACAACTGGCATCCCAGTGGACACCAGAGATGAAGAGCCCCCCAACCAGGCATGGGCCAGAGAAACCCATTCTATTGGCAATACAAAGCTCTATCAACTGGGTCTTAGCCATGCACTTTGTACTGCAAGGTTGGCAGTGCATGTGCAGGGATTGCAGCAGGCCAGGCCCCACTGTGCAGGTTCCAGGAAGTAGCCACCCCTTCCATGAACCATAGAGTTTCCTTGGTCCTTATTCATCTTGATATACTCATGACATATTTGGAACTGAAATTAAGGACCCCAAATTACCTTACTGTCACTTGAAGTCTTTCACTTCATATCCTACTCTGTCATTCTAAGACCCCACCCAACAGGGGAAGCTACAGATGCTCACACTTTGCAGACTGCTGACTCTGAAACCAGCCTGAGGTCCTGGTCTGGAACCAGCCCTGATCTCCATGAGGCTGTCAGGGGTCAGGGAAGACTCTTTAAGGCCTTCAGATTGTGAAGGTGGCTTCAGCCATGGTGAATAAAAGCTAAGTATACTGCTCCCAGCAAATAGCATTACCAATTGGGTTGAGCCCTAACAAAACACATTTGAAGTCAAAAAGATTAAACTGTATACATATAAACAATGAATACTGCAAAAAACCAACAACCAAATCAACAACCATAACAATAACAGATCAGACCTCTCAAAATTCAGAAACCAGAAAGCTATTTTAAAATGTTTAAATTATTACAAGAAAAAAAAAATCTCAGCTAAACAACTAAGTCAAGCAACCTTATATTCACATCTATATGACTAAAAATTGGCCTTTGCTGGCATTACCAACTATATGATCTTTAGTACTTTCCCTTGATATTTAAGGACATGTTAGAGAATGTTATAAAATAGAATATGTAGAAAGAAGGCACTGTTTTGGCACTAGCAAAAAGGACAGTTAATTTCCCTTGCCATCACCCCATCCACTAATCATGTGACCTTTAATAATCAATTCATGGCGCACACTCTAAACCCAATCCTTTGAAGTCCTGCGGAAATTGTATCTGTTAGTTTTTCTTTAATATGTATCTCTCAAATGATGTTTTGGTCTTAGTTTTCTTAATGTTCATCTCTGAGAAAGATGTGATTAAGCTGGTATTTTAATATATATCGAAGGTTTTAATATGTCTTTCTCATAAATAGTTTTTAAACTTGAGTCTGCACTGGTACCTTCTTAAATGTGGGGTTGGCATTGCCTTTACATGGTAATTCACAAATCATTTTCTCTTTTTAAGAGTATAAAAGGTGCTATTAGGAAAAGCTCTCACTGACAATGTTGATGGCATATTTCCTAGGGTAAAAAAGAAAAGTAACTTAAGCTGCTTTGACTCAATCACAATTAAAAGGACGTGTATATGTACCTTTAATTTCTGGAGAGGACTTCATATAAGTTTGGTTGATTACTGGTCAAATTTATATAAAACATTTTGGTAATCCTAAAAAAGTAAAAACAATGCTTTGTTCAAAAGATTATGAATTCAAATGAACAGAGGTGGCAGAAGAGCTGGTAGTATTGGCTTTTACTAATAAACACATACCAGGACAGACATGTCAGGAAAGGTACAACAGAAACAAGTAAACAGGAATACCCTAATGTCCCCTAGCCCTACTCCATGTCAGATTATAAAGCACCTGCTATAATGTACTAGAGTTTAGTGATTTCATATTATAAATATTTCTTAAAGTATCTATGTATAGAAAATATACATATAAAACTGTATATTTTAAAATAGTTCAAAACCTAAAAATTGTAAGCATATATATTGTAAGCAGTATAAAATATTAATTTTTCTCCATGTGTTGGGTTTTTATCCACATAACAATATCATATCCAAAACACATCATAAACCCAACTTGCTTATACACTGACACTTGAAATACATGAACACACATGCATACACATATGCACACACATATGTATACACATACAAACATAAGTAAATGTGTTTACATACATACAACCACACACATCGAGTCTTCACAGAAAAAAAAGCAGTCATTACAAAGCATTTTTTCATACACATTTGTTTGTAAAGTTTCAATGTGAAAAAATAATTTTTAACTAAATTCTGCTCCTAATTGAACACAGTAGGCCTAGTAGTCTTAGCTGACTAACATGTTCTAAACAAATTTCTTGATTTTGTTACAGTATAAGATCTAAATATTCACATATGAAATTGCTCATGTTTCTGTCTGAAGGGCCTATTCTAGATTGATTACAGAATAAAAGAAGTTCTCAGCGTTCTGCTACAACAGCAAGGACTTATGATCATGCCTAAGCCCTCACAAAAATATTTTATCCCTTGCTTATTTAACTCCTCTTTTCCAGTAAAACATGCAGCTTGAAAGAATTCTGGGCTTCAGATTTTACCATGTGCACCCTGGAAATTGTGGAATGTCAGTAATGAGTTCTCTCTCACGCTTGCTACAGCACTAGTAGCCAGAAACCCAGGCTTTCTACCTGTCTATTTGATATTTAATCACAATAAACTGTTGGTTATACAAAATGATGGCAACTTGAAGACAGAATTTGCTACTGTAGCCCCTCATATCCAGGACAGGAAAAAATAATAATAGAAACAAAGGAGTGAATTCTGTGCCTGATAAGGTTAAAAAACTGAATTGTGATTAGTTATTAAGTAATAGAAAGAAGTATGAATCATTCCACCAGTTGTGTGATCTGGGAGAGTCTATTGGCTTAATTTAAATGACATTTTAAGAAAAGATGCTTGGTGTCTTTGTCTACTTACCCAAGCATATGCCTAACTCTTTGATCTTCAAACATATCCCCATCATTGCCACTTATACAAGCTTTCTGGCTGTGAGGACCACCTTCTTTATCTAGTTTAAAAGGTCCCAGGTAGATCACAGTACCTCTCTCAAGACCCTCACTGGGTTGCAGGGGTATGTCATTCACAGCAGGTGAAGACATCATATTTAAGGACCACTGCTCTCGCAGATAGGAGGTCAAAGGGATGGATCATGTGGTGACCTGGAAAGCCCTAGATAGTGCAGCAGAAGGAAACACTCCTACTGGCGAAAGTTTTAGCAAACTGCCATACCTCATAGAAAAGAAAGCTGCACTAAACCCACTGCTGGCATTTACAACTTATAGAAAAGACTCGTTCCTCATCCCCTGCTCTTACACCTAACCAGTGACAGACACCAGAAGGGGTAGCTGCATCTTCAGCATGTTCTAAATTGGCATTGATGAAGCCTAATAAGGAAAAGCAACCATTATTTCCCCAACTGCACTGGGCACACAGAAACACTTTTCTGTTCAGTGATTTACCTCTTATCTCAGCATGTGTGGCCTACACCACCCACTAATGACAACACTGGGAAATGTAACACATTAATAGTAAAACACCAACTAACTTTTAACATTCATGTTCCCAAACATATATAGATGTACACACACATACTCCCACTATTTTGGGGATATTCAACACTACGGAGAGAGCTCTGGAGGTTTCCTGGACACATAATTCACCAGCTGAAGAGATGCTGTCCAGATGAGTAGGTAGAAGTTAGGGTGAACTATGTATGCAGCAAACCTGTGACAACCTAGTGTGATGATGACATCCCGTCATGGTTTACTCAGTGTAGGATGTGTAAGTTAAGACTGTGGACCAGCACTGCTCTGCAAGTATTAACATTCGCTTGTCTTTTCGTGGAACGGGAAAGGTAAAGTGAGATTTCCTTGTTGACGGTCACTTGCTTGAATAACAGATTTTTCTTCTGTTGCTGCATTAATGGTATCTGAATAAGCATCTTCATCTTCTGCATCCCTCGGATTACCCTCCAGGCTGTGTCTGATGCCATAAGCAAAGTAAATCAGGAGACCTTTCGGGGGAGGGAAAAAGAAAAAGCAATGTTTTATGTGTGTCTGGAAATGACTGTTTTAATATGAAAAATTTAATGTAGAACTCTAAGGTTTTTTCCCTTCTCTTTCAGTGCTACTTTAGAAGAAAGGGATGCAAACATGAGATACCTCACAGAGGGTCTCCTTGATAAACGTTTTCCCAGTAGAATGCGCCCCTTCATTTTCAACACCCAAACTTTAAAGTGTTATCTAAAAAAAAAAAAAAAAAAAAAAAAAAAAAAAAAAAAAAAAACCCCTCCATACTTTAAACAAAATAATAGGTCGGGTAAAGTCGCAAATCACATCCTAAATACAAGAGGTGCATTATCAGAGTCATGGTCAGATATTTTGGGAAGCATGCCCCATGTTAATAAAGGGGACGTGGGCGTGCCTTACACATGTCACTGTCACAAGAGGCCAATTAACTGTGTACAAAGCAACTGTTTCTTAAAAGCCTGATTAGGTGGGGATGAGCAGGCAATGTTTTAAGTATCCTCGCAAGGTAATTACTTATATATAGGCATTTTTCTGTGTTTTAGTTATATTTTATAAAACTGGTTGGGAGTTTTGGGTTGATATGAAATGGCTTTTTCTGGGCTTCATTTTTCTTACCTGTAAGTTGGAAAAAATAGAACATATGTGGTTCTTCAGGGTTACTGGGAGATTCAAATAAAAAGATGTATCTGAAAGCATCTGGACAAGCAAGCACTCAGATGTTCCAAGAATTGGGAAAGGAGGAAACTGATAAAAGCCTTTGTTTATAGGAAGGGGGAGAGGGTGCATTTCTCTAGTCACAGTGCATGAAACAGGAAAGAAAGAGGCCAAGTTCAGAAAACAAATACATCAAAACACCTACCAAGTGCCATCCAAATGCTAAATCTGATCCAAGTGTCTGCACTCAACTGAATCATCAAGTAAATGTTCACCAGGATGCTGAACGCTGGCAAAAATGGTAAGAACGGAACCTAAGGGGGACAAAATCTTTTTGAATATACTCATATTTTGAAAGCATATTCCCCAAATTATTTCAACATGATGGCAATTTATTTGACATACAGACTTTCACACTGTATCAGTAAGGTTATATCCCCATAAAAAGAACCTGAATAAAAACGATTCTTCTAGGAACTACTAAAGGGAGAATCAGTTTCGCTCATTTGCTCAAGTCCAAAGCAACTGGGGACACTTCTCAAACCTGCTAACACCTGCATCATCACCAAGACACACTTAGTTTTAGGGCTGAGTGTAGTTTAGGGTTTACTGGTTCAGACATCAACAGGGCATGCCTCTGGAACTCTGGTCCCACTCGGCATCCCAGGGGATACTTCCAGGAAGCCCTCTTTAAGCCACAGCCTGCTCTTAGTTCAAAGGGGGTAAGATAATTTCAGTTGGAGAGGAAGGGCTTTTGGTGGGAATAAATCCTCGGGAAAGGGCACTGAATTTCTACAATTTAAATATTCTAATTATGTTTCTGATATCATAGATTATTTAACAAGGAAACTTTTTACTATTATATATAATAATATTGTGATAGGAACATATTAAGTTTTTGAAAAGGGCAGTAAGGCAGCCAGTGTAGGAAGAAGACAGACAAAAAGGAATAGAATCCTGACACTCTTGTTCCCTGGTTAACTTCTTTAGAAGACTTTTTAAAGAAACAACTCATAAAATTAACATACAGAGAAAGGGTACATTTTATTAAGGATCTCTAATCCTCACTGCACATACCATAAAGGCTACTTTCCGCTGATTCTGGGGCTGCCTCCAGATAGTGAGGACGACAGCAGCGCAGAGCACGAGGAACAGGGTGAGAAGAGCCAGGCTCCAGGCTTGCAGGCCGGCGATGGCATGCACCCCGTGAGTGGTCAGGACACTCAGGCCCAGGATGAGAAATGCTGCGGATGCAATATGCATACAAAACAAAGTCAGCACGCAAACTCCACTCAGATTCCTCCTTTAAATAGGCTATTCTGAAAAAACGTCAAGTTCTTTCCCTTTTTCTTTTTCATTGTGGAGAGAGAGGGCCAGTCTCACAGATTTAAGACACGTTGCTCATTTACCCATTACTGTCTCCTCCTTAGACATCACCTCCCCTCCTGGCACTGCCATCTCACTGTATCTGCCCATGTGCCATCTAGGTCTTCATTTGCTACTCTCAGACTATATCACATGACTGATGGGATGTTGTTGGGGGGGGGATATTCTCCTTTATTTGAATGAGAAACGGCAAGTCTATTTTAAGCCATTGTAAACACGGATTGTTAATGTAAACAAATATTATATGATCTGCATCTTTTCTCCTTGTTTCAGAGAATGACACCAGCACCCACCCATGCTATCTCTGACCATCAAGTCTGCATTAAGGGCCCCTCCTATCTGCTCTCAGAGAAGCGTGTACTTCCCTAGCTTGCCACCAATAATCCTGTACTGTGAAGCAGAGAGAGAGCAAGGGCCATCTCTTCTGCTATCCCAGCACCAATGATGCTCAATAAATGTGGCTGAAAACATAAAGATTACATAAGTGTGGGTGAGCAAACAAGGACTTTCTAGACTGCCTCCCAGTGCCAGTGGGTTCCAGTTCTGTCATCGGCAGGTGCGCTTGGCCTGATGCTTTCACACAGCATACCAACAGCTGATTCCACCACTCCACTTCAATTGTCAAGATATGATCAATTTACCCTGTTAATATAAAGATGGCCTCAACTACTAGTGACTCTTTAGGTGGAAATTTCAGGGCTCAGGTTGGTTGCTAACACATCCTAGGGCAATGTACAGCCTTTTGTCCTCTTTCCCACCATACTGGCTTCACCAACACACACACATCTTCTGGGCCTTTGCAACATAAGTGATGAAGAACACTTACCCAGGAATCCTACCAGAAAGCTCACGAGAGAAGCTGACTGTGGCGTAGGCAAAACAGAGGGGCTGAAGAGGGTTCGCAGGCTGAAGCCCTGTCCTTGCAACATGGTGACCTGGGACTCGCTTTTTGAAGCTGTGCTGGCACATGATCCCAGAGCTTCTTTCTCAGGAGAATATCTGGGCTGCTCATAAGATAAGCTGGGCTGGTACCTATCCGCAAATAAATATTTGTGTCTTTATTCTCAAACGGACACTTGGCCTGGATGTAACCAGCACCTAAAACTCCGAGACATCTTCCAGAGTCACAGCGTGTGCAATAAATCGACCCTTCTCCTCACTCCAGCCCCAGAGTGTGCTGAGCTCGGCCACAACCTTCTCCTAGAAGATCTGCAGCAGCTGTGGATTTCCTCTGGTAGCCATTTAATTGGGAAGTTATACATCAGATGCAGAAGAAAGTTAAATTTTAAAGTGAGGCAACGGTGACAATAGGATGATTATTCTGAAATTATTTATGTCCGGAGGAAATGCAATTCATGAAAACAGCACAGAAACTCCAGTTAAATATCTGCTACAGCACAATGTAGTCTCTTCAGTTTGGCATTCAATGACCTCACCACAATCTGTGTCTCTGGCCTCATCTGCTTCAACTTTCCCACCCAACTCTTCTAGTTTAACCCAGACAAGGCCACACAGCTGCTCTACCACCTCCCATGCCATGCATGCCATTTTCCTTGATGACTCCGTCCTCTTCCTCTGCAGCCTGTGTCAGGGCACCAGCCTGCTCCCCCGCTCCTGGTATCTGCCCAGTTTCCCTCGTGTGGCCTCTTCTCCTCTGCACAGCCTTTACTTATTTTTCAAAATAACATTTTCCTCCATATAATGAAATATCCTCACTGAGGAAAAGTACACAAACATACACAGAAGAAAATTAAAACCACCCATAATATCACTAAACAGTGTTAATTAGCATTTTGGTACAACTTCATTCAGGCACGTGCATATGTGTGTGTGTGTGTGTGTGTGTGTGTGTGTGTATGCATATATTATTTATTCATGTAAATTTGTAAGTTATTATTTAAACAAGTTCAGATGCTATATATAGCTTTGTATCCTGAAACTGATCTATCTCTTCATATAATGAAATATCATTTTATTTGCTGTAGAAGAGTCCACTGGATTTATCCTCATTTATTTAACCATTCTCCTACTGATATTTCAGGTTAGTTCCATTTTTTTCACTCTTGTTAATTACTTTTTCCATGAGTTTATTTTACATACATCTATGTGTGCCTCTGATTAAATCTTTAATATAAAATCTTAGCAGTTGAATTATTGGCACGAGTATAATATTTTTAAGTGTCCTCATACATTATGAGAAATTGACTCTCACATAGATTGGGCCAAGTGATCACTAATGATCCAACTGTTTATGATTCTTTGCTAAGGATCAAGTATGCTTCTTATACTAGCAATGTTTTTTATGGACCCAGCCTCTCAACTCGGTGAGACCGTTGGCTCCCTGAAAGCAAGGACGGCGGGTCCTCCTTTTTTTTACTGCCTGCGCCCACATGCGCAATGTTTTTTATGGACCCAGCCTCTCAACTCGGTGAGACCGTTGGCTCCCTGAAAGCAAGTACGGCGGGTCCTCCTTTTTTTTATTGCCTGCGCCCACATGTCTTTTTTTTACTGCCTGCGCCCACATGCACACATCTTCAGAAACACCTGGCAACTCACCTGAGAATGAGAACACAGGCTGCGACCAGAGAGTAGGCCATCAAAGTGCCAATGGACATCATGTCCACAAGCGCCTTCAGATCAAAAAGAAATGCCATCACAGCTATTGGGAAAAGACAGAAATGGTAAAACAAACAGCCTATGATGATATTCCATAGTTAATAACTTTCAAATCAGTGACAACTGACTGATACTTTTTTGTTTTCATACCAATGATAAATCAAAGTGCAGAAAATATATTTCTCACAGTCAATAAGTTGTTGTTCTTTAGTCAAATATAAATAAATAAATAACCCCTCAGCTGTCCAGTGAGTATAAAACACATCTACTTTGATTACTTAAAAAATATTTGGCCTGACAAAGAATGAAAATATTGTATGACAGAATACTATCCTTTGATGTTTCAGAAGAAAAACATTGCTAGGAAATACTGACTAGCTCCTTTTTAAAAAGATTCAAATAGAAAGACCCTTCATTATTAGAATAATTTTATTATTATTTATTATTATTATAATATCATTTTACAATCATTTTCATTTCCATCTGCAGTATGAGTTACATACAACTCAAAATTATTTTAATACTTTTGACATAATTAAATAATAAAATAAATTTTCAATTAGATTATGTTTCTGATATAGGCTAACTTCTACTCTTATTAAAGCCACAGACTTCCAGGTAAAATGTCTAGATTTGAGAGATCAATTTATGGTCCTACACACAAAATCCCAATAATGTTAAAAAGAAGAATATACCTTATAGTTGAATAGTTAACTTGTATTTAACAATTGATTTCTCCATTGAAACATCAAAATTGTAATAATACTAACTGGAATTTACCACATGGTTGTCCCTATCATAGTAAGTAGATAACAACACATTCCATTTATCTGGTGTTTGAGACCTCTCCACAAGCTTGAGATCTCTGTGACCTCACTTTATCTTCAAGTCAATGACCCTATGAGACAGGGGAGATTATTTCGGTTTAGCCATATAAAATGGCTGGTATTTGACCAAAAAACTAGCAATTTCACACGGTTTGGCTTGAAAGGATTATCACCATTTTACAGACAGGCTACCTTAACAAGGCTACAACTACTAACTAGAGGCAGAGTCCCACCTAAACCAGCATCCCCACACTCCTCCCACAGTATCACATTGTTTCTTAAATATGCTGCATGTCTTACTTTGAAAATTCTTCATTGCTAGTTTAATTATACATTATATTAAAATTACTAATACAGTATATCAAAAATTTCCGTATGTTTTGTAAGAATCACAGAGAGCCAAATAAGGTAGCCAAAAGAGAAGAAAATGATTAAATTATCCACACAAGCTCTCTGAGCTAAGCTAAAAACAAGCAAAGCAAGGTACGGAAGTACAAAATAATGAAAATATTATATATTTGAGCATTTTTTAAAAAAGCATTCTATTATAATTATCTTCTTTTAATTATTAATTTCAATGTTTTATGCTGCCAAGTGAAATTCTTCCTGAATGAAGAAGGATAAAGTGTTTAAAATTCTGAGTACAAAGTAGGGTATTACTGGACAAGCTTTTTTTTGTTTTTGTTTTTACCAGAAAAAAGTTTTATGGATTAAATAAAATGTGTGATCCTTTGTCGAGAAATATTTATGAACTTTCTTTAACATCATAATGTACTATTTAATAATAAAATGGGCTTTAGATATCTAACGCAACCTTCATTTTATGGGGGCAGAAATCTAATCCTGAGAAAAAAGTGACTTAATTTTCCAACACGTTTCATAAAGTGCCAGATTTATTTGAAAATGTTTACAAAGTGAAACTGTTTAGGTAAACACTTTCTGACCCTGAAAAACTCCATTTCATACATAATAAAGCATTAGCAGTCTCTAACTTAACTTCCCAATGTTTCAAAACCTCAACAAAATGTATCATTTGGTTTGAATTTCTACAGACAAGATCACTTATCATTTTATCTATAAAGCTTGCTAAATTCTTTCTCTTGCTTCCTATAATAGTACCTTTAAGGTCATTCTCTCGATCTATACAATCTCTTTGAAAATTTCTGCATGGAATAAGAGTCTGGCCAAAGGCTTTACATGGATATTAAGACATGCCCAAAGGTAGGAAATCTGGATTTTCTGAACATAACTTAAGTACCAAAACTGCTGAAAGGAAAAATAGATTCCTAATGGGGTTTCAGAGGATATATGTGTTAGTAACTCTTAGAGGATCACATGGTCCAGGAAGCATGGATGCCCACCATACTGAGGACAGTGATCACAAGGGCCAAGTATAGATTATCTTTGACATTCCTTATACTTAATTAAGAATGGATAAGGTTTAGCTTTCTAAAAATCTTATGGTTCCTTTAGCAATATGCAACATATCCTGGACAAAAAGGAAAATATTGAATCATTATTTTTAAGTTAATAATTCAAAAATTAAGTAATTATTCTTCAATTAAAATTCTGTGCATCAATAATAGAATTTTATTTGCTAATTTATCCATCAGAAAAGCAATACACGATATTTAGTAAAGAACCATTACAACCCTTTGCACATTTGTTAGAAGCCCAAAAGGTTAAAATTACAAAATAGTAAAAAAACAAACAAACAAAACCCCCCCAAAGGGCCAGTTAAGAATGAATTTCCGTATACCACTGCCACCATAATTTTCAGATATTAATCCCAACGTTCATAAACTAATTTATCTGTGATTTTGCTCTTAACTTACATGCACAGCATGCAGACCCTCTTTATAAGTCCATGCATGCACACACAGTGTTCCAGTCCAGTGCTGAAGAAGCCTATGCTTGTAAAGCTTACCAGAAATGACCCCGGCTGTCATTGTGGCAGCAACTGGTGACTGCCTCTTACTCACTCTGGCAAGAAATCTAAACAGTAAACCATCCCGGGCCATCGCAAACAGAATTCGGGGTAAAGGAAACATAGAGCCCAGAAGACTAGAACAGAAAAATTCATAAGCCACTGTGAGTCATTTTAAGTATTATCCTAGAAAGATATATACAGGTAAAGACTGGACACACTAAAGCGCAGAACCAAAAAATTCAAACACAAAAACATTCACAAAAAAGTTATTAAACTTCATGTAAATCTAAATTGAAAACCACCTAACTTTCTAATTTTTTCAAAGTCCTTGATGAAAAAGATCCCTCTTTTCTTAATAAAAGCCAACTCTCTCTCACCTGCTACCGCACCCGATGATAAAGTAGCAATTATTGGTGTCTTCGTTTTGGAATTGATCTGAGCTAGACATTTGAAAAGCAACCCATCCTCCGCCATAGCATAGATTACACGAGGCATTGGGAAAATGGATCCAAGAAGACTGAATAAAAAGCAAACACATGCAGTATGGCAAACATATTCATGCAAGATTCCCAGAACTGAAATAAAGCAATTGTTTAAAACTCAGCATAACAGTCATGATTATGAGGACAAATTGTTTTTCTTAAATGCACTGTGATTGGGCATTTAAAAATAGTTTCCAATATTGACCATTTTCCAATACTACTCATTTTTCTGTTGCAGATATTTACCTGGCAAAATTATTGGACTAAAATCAACATTGCAGGTAATTTGTGTGTGCCCACAATTAGCACTGAATTAAAACTAAGTAATTAAGACTTTAGAAAAAAAACAGACCAATATCAATCACTAAGACATTTTTAGTAGCAATAACTCAAAAAATAAAATTCCTAAATTAAAGAACTGATTAAGTAATTTTATTTAATGGTAAGAGTTACTTCATTTATTCAGTCATTATATATTTTTTGTATTTATTTTACCATTATTTTTTCTCATATCACCTGATCTTTGATCAGATTAGTCAATAATCCCCAGCATCATAAGGTAATCAAAGATTAAAAAAAATTAACTTCTTGTAAATTTAGTACAGAAAAGTAGCCACAATTAAAAGTTAGTAACAGTGAAGTTTAACAAGACAATTTTTGCTTAAGATGTTTTGAATTACTTGTGTTTACTGGATGTTCCATTCCACACATGACTGAGTTGTGAGAAAATAAGTAAAATATTTCATTTTAAAAATCCATTTTCTTTATATTTTGTAGTAACAGTGAAGTTTAACAAGACAATTTTTGCTTAAGATGTTTTGAATTACTTGTGTTTAGTGGATGTTCCATTCCACACATGACTGAGTTGTGAGAAAATAAGTAAAATATTTTATTTTAAAAATCCATTTTCTTTATATTTTGAGAAAGCTGGGTTGAGGCTGGCCACAGATGAATCCGTGTTCACCCCCCTTCCATGACCACAGGGGCACAGTATCGTCACAATTCAGACTTTTGCAACTATCTGAAGCTGTTTAAGCTAAACCTCAACACCAGCAGATGGCTGAGAAACCAACAGGGGTAATTTCTAACTGCCACTTAGTACTATCTTGACTAGAAAATAAAAAAGATTTTGAGGGAAAAAAAATAAAGCTAAGTTGATAAATTATATTAAAAGACTTCTTTTGCTAATTTCAGACTTTTAGGAAATTTTTACTTAAATTAGTAAAAAGGTAAAAAGATTAGTAAAAGTAAAAATTAGTGATCAGGTAAAAAGATTAATTTTCTCCTTATAAGAATATTCTACTATATATTATGGTATAAAACTAAAATGAAACATCTTACTTGTGATCATTTGTTAATATGAAATATGAGTTTCTCAGGAAGCCTGAGAAGTGAGTATTAAAACAAGCAGCTACTGCAACTGAACACTTGCAATTCAACCACCTTGTTAACAAGATATTATATACATTTCCACTATTAATTTGAGAATGGTAATTTCTGTTTCTAGACTGAGTGCACTCTGATCGATGCTAAGAGGAAAAGGTCTCAGTGTTTCAAAACAGAAAGCACATTACATGTTAAAAAAATGACACAGCCTAAAAGCTTCCATTCACGCAGACTCGGTATTACTTTAAAAGATGGCAGAACATGTCAACTCTGCACATAAAGTCTCAAACTGTCTGTAGCACTGCAAGTAACACTAAAGCCAGCAGAGAAACATACTAGTCTAAGCATTCTAAAGTTTTACAATACATATATATAAATGTATGAATACATCTAGCATATATATTTGTGTGTGTGTGTGTACCAATGTATATATTCCCACTGAGGCTTGGACCATCATTATCTTGAAAAACTGACTCAACAATTTCCCCTCCCCCCCTTAGTTATCGCTTAAGATTTTTTATATGGCAATTCTGGGTAAACCGTTCAGTGAATACATAGTTGCATAATATGTTCTTCATATTAGGATATTTTAAAAGCACACAAAAGCGATTATTTAGACACTGACTATACTTTGCAGGAACCCAAAGCCCCTGCTGGGTAAACCGTTCAGTGAATACATAGTTGCATAATATGTTCTTCATATTAGGATATTTTAGAAGCACACAAAAGCGATTATTTAGACACTGACTATACTTTGCAGGAACCCAAAGCCCCTCCCCCAAAGGCAACACAATGTACCTTGTTGACAAAGCACAGAGGGAGCCCGCTGCAACAACATATTTGGCAGGACCCCATCCAACATATTCAAATGCTACAGGAAGGGGGCTTTTTTCGTCGAGGAGGTAGTATGGCATCATAAGTGTTAAAGCTGCAGAGACCCCAAAATATGCCATAAAGCAAACAAGCAAAGAAGTCACAATTCCAATGGGAATAGCTTTCTGGGGATTCCGGACTTCTTCACCTAAGGAAATGTAAACAAAAGATTTGCATGTTTAATAAAACATTAATGGATCAAAAACGTAATTTGTATCAAATTCTTCCTCTCCACTTTGGAAACTCTACTCTGCTTTTGTTCTTTCTGTCTTCTTAGCTTGATCCATCTATTTTACATGCAATTTCCTCTCTTCAGGTACTTTGCTCTTACATAAAAATTCAATTCCCAGAGGGAGAAGAGGAGGAGAAGCCATGCAAGGCAGTTTCCCATTTCGAGAACGAGGAAGAAAACATGTCATAACAGCACTATTCAGTGTTTAGGGATAGAATAGCAGTCTTAAGTGGAAAATGCCTCATCTACAGAGATTAAATGACAATCGTGGCACTGTAGGCCCTTAAATATGAAACTGAGAAATTTATCTCACTTATTTATATGAAACTCGTTTTGACAAAATAAAAACAGTACACTTTGTGTCCTTCTAATAAGATCTGACATGTGAAGTTCCCCAAACATGGTCAATTATAATGTCATGCAATCACATGAACCCAGAGGAAGCACTTAGTGATTCTGGCATGATTACTTTGCTGTGTAGGATAAAGAGGAAAGAACTGACAGAATATATTCTATCCAAGTGACATTACTTACAGATAGGTTAAGGACGGTAATTATAACTAACATTTATAAAGTATTCAACAGCTTGCAAAGTAGTTTTCATACAAGAGTACTTCAAAAAGTTTGTGGAAAAACATAATTAAAAGATAATAGCAAATGTTTCCATGAACTTTTTAAAGTACCCTCATATGTATTTTCATAGGTATCTTCATAACATTTGAGGGGTGGGTACTGCTCTCTCAATTTTGCCAACTGAAAACCAAGCATCAGAAAGTTTCACTAAGCTCTTTTTTTTTATCAAATGTCATAGATGTCATAGCTGGGTGTGGAACAAGCATCCTTCTTACTCCAAATCCCACTCTTTCCTTGACCCTCTGCTTCCACTCATGGATACTAATGTGGTACAAGGAACCCCTTTTCCTTCTGCAAAGAGCCAGGACACTGCTCTTACCAGTTGTTGCAATGCAGTCAAATCCCACAAAGGCATAAAAGCAAGTTGCAGCACCAGCCAGAGTCCCTGCAAAGCCATAAGGCATAAAGCCGCCGGTCCCATAGACACTTGTTCCATTTTCAGAAGGCGGCTCTCTGAGGAAGAGAACAACCACATGGGAAAGTCATTTTCATAGAAAAATGCTCCTCTAGTGATTTGTCTCAAACTACATCCGTGGAAGGCTGCTGTGTTAATCAGTTCTTTGAAGCTGATGTACATAAAACTAAAACCTTAATCTCTCATCCTGTTCCTAGAGAACGTGGTGGTGCCCCAAATGATGACTTTCTTGTGTCACCAGCACCCAATTAGAGGCTGACCGACAGCATGTGCAGAAGGCCCAGACCCACTCCAGGGGCAGCCTGCAGCCAGGCAGGATCATGAGAGCTGAGACTCCACATATGGGTCATGAAGACAAGAAACTTTCTCTTTCTCTTCCTGTGGACACTTTTTCCTACAAGGATCCATTCTTTTTTTTTTTTTTTTTTTTTTTTTTTTTTTTTTTTT